TCGAGAAACAGAGTTCGTTCGAGAAACAGAGTTCGTTCGAGAAACAGAGTTCGTTCAAACCGCTTGGCAGCCAACGTCTTAAACGCACGCTTGGCATAGAACTTCAACTCTGGGCGTTCTTGCTACATCCTTACTTCTTTATTATTATTTTTGATTGTTCATATGAAACGTGCCTGAGCTGATGAGTAATCAACATAACCATCATATTACCATACGCATTTCCAACAGTTCATAAATAAAAGTACTCAAGAGGCAGTGCTCCCCTTTCTACGAGTATAATAAGTGTATATTTATGATTAAAGGGTACATGTGTTTGGAAAATAGAATATCATGGTTGTGAAGAAGCTGGTTTTATGGTTCGTTTTATCAAAAATATTTTTATATATATTCGTTAAAAGGGGTTGTTCAAATATATATATAGATATAGAATCTTATAATAGACCTATATAAACTATATATATCTGTAGAGAAGCTTGATATATTGATAATCGAATGGTTCTTAAGGAGAAATTCAAAATATATACAAATATTTTTTGGGAACATTCCGACAATTTTTTTGCTTTATCCAAACTTTCTTGGTATCTTTGATACTTTCAGGATAGCGAGGTCTCGGTTCCGATCGACTTCAGCCTGTTAGTATAAAAAATAAGAGACTACTCTCAAAAAGTGTTTGATATAAAATGGGATTTAAGTAAAGAGTTATTGATACGATATATCAGTTTTAACAGATAACTATTTCAGTTCCAAAAACTAAATATTGAAAATCAGAAAATCTATTTGGGTCACTAAAATTATATTTTTAGCGCTATCTTCAGAATTTCATAAAATAAATATACGTAGTTAAGTTATTTACTTCTTAACTACAGAAAATAATTTTTTAGTGTTTCTAAGCCACAGCTCTTAATTTTGCGCATTTTTTCGTCTTTCGTACTTCCTTGTACCCATTCACACATGGTACAAAGAAATTTAAGCACATTTTTTTGCGTATCAAAGCAATCATTCAAGGCTATGCCCTAGTTTATATTTTTTGGTACAAACACATGTTTATCCATAGCTCTTATTTCGGCATTGTTAAGCTGCGCTTTATTGAATTCAATAATTCTTTTATTTAGGCTTTCAATGGTACACATTTTTTCATTTGACATCCAATATCTTATAACGTCCCCTGGCAATGCCATAGTACAAGTGTAGAGTGCTTGTTTTCATAGTTTTGTAATAGAAATGGTACCACTTGTTTTTTTATCTCCCCCATTTCATTAACTGTGGAATTTATTTTGCTATGATTAATACGCACAATTTAAGAGTTTTAATGTACTCGTACTCGTGATCTTACAGAGATAAAGCTATGAAACAATTTGAATTAGAGCTTTTGTTGTTCAATGAGGCGGAAAATTTTCTTGTAATTAATTCCAATTACTCCTACGTATGTTAGTGTAAATAACGCGTCTTCGATTCGCCATTTTTCGCAGCACTTTGAGCTGTGCTCTCATTTATCCTGTTGAATTGAATCGAAGGCAAGATATGTGGGTATATCATTCAATAACCGTTGCTGTTCTATATCTTTTTGATCATGACCGTATATCATATTTATGCTAGTTGTTTGTTCGGTTCGCCATTTATTAAACATACGACATATTTGAAAGTTCATAGATGTACAAATTGTTTTTTGATGAAAATTGGCCCTCAGCCGTCTTATGTTTTTTCTTATTAAGAAATATGAAAAGTAAGAAAGATTCTTAAAAATTTCAAAGCTGATAACGTATATCATAAATAAAAATAATTTTGCTTCACTTGCTAATTTTCTTACCTTTATAATTGGTATAAATTTCTCAAATATACGGAAACTTCGGGAATCATCATTTATGGGAACCTCTGGATGGTCTCTAGATGTTTTAATCTCCCGTATCATGTCAGTAGAAGTGGAATTACCATTTGATCGATTTTGACTCTGACTAGTCCATTTAAATAGCGCGCGAACAATTTTTTTATGAGCTGTGAAGTGTATGTTAGGCCGCTGTTTGTTTAAGACGCAAAAGGTTGGCCGATGATTTTTACCATGAAATTACCATTGAAAAAGGAGTTTGTTTGAAATTTTGTGTTCCCATAGCCATAACGGCTGCGAAATGGTTGAAAATGAAGTGTTTTAGGGAGTCTACTTTATCACGAACACAAGTATTTGAGTGGCACAAATCAATCAATGAAGGCCGTGAAGTTATCGAAAACTTGTATCATGCAAGTCGTCCATACACCTCTGTTAATGGCGATAACGTCGAAAAAGTTAAAGAAACAGTGCCTGAAACTCGTCATGTTGATATCAGAGAGATAGTAGAATATCTAAAAATCTCTTATGGAATGCCTGAACAAGTTTTGGTTAATGTTTTAAGTATGAAGCATGTCAATGCTCGACTTGTACCAAAAGGCCTTAATCTTTTCCAAAAACGGCGTCAAGCAGATCGAAAAAGAGATTCTTCACAAAGTAGCTGATCCAACATTCATTAGAATGTGATATTGAAGACGATAATAAAGATTGATACGATACGATACGAGAAAATGTCAGAACGGGTAAAATATATCTAAGATTATATGATTATATTAATATCATATGTATGTTTGCATAGACAGTTTTGAAGTATTAAAATCTGTTAGAAAAATGGAGGCAATAGTTAAAACGTCAGTCGCCAATATCACTTTGAACGATCACAAAACCAATAGATCGCCAAGATATTACTTTGAACACAAACGTTTCATGTTAAGATACGATTAAGCTATAAGCTATATCACTGTTCCCTCATTCGTTCCTTTAAAATCTTTATTTTAAGCCTGTGGAGCAATATTTTAAAGCAAAGCATTTTTTTTGCAAAAATTTCAAAGATAGAACTGAGACTTTAGAGGCATTGAAATAAAGGAAGTCTTATCACTTCATCACATAATGAGTCTGGTTTATTCGATAAATTAATTATATTTTATGATTAAAAAATATACTCTCTTTACTAATAACAATATAGAAATTTGGAAAACAATTAGCTAAAGCCTTTTAGTATAGTTTAGAAACATTTAAATACATACCTAAAACCGCCTAGTATGAACAGCAAAATGTATTTAAAAGAAAACAAGTCAAAAAGTAGCGCCTCGTAAATAAGTTAACACCTCCCGGCCATTGACGACCATTTTTACACTTGGCAATGATTAACGGCGGACTTTCGTTAGAATCGTGCCCGAAATGGAAGTGTTCGATGAGAGTCTCGCAACAATTGATGTTCCACGAAAGGCATTAATTAAGTAAGCAAAGTAGACCTAACGACTAACGAAGATAATCACACACATATTTACATACATGAAAATCTCTCGAGCGTGACTGATTTTCGCTGAATGCAGGATATTAATATCCACACATATGCGCAGCTACTTATACATACTTAGGTGTGCTTGTGTACGATTCAAGGTAATGCAAAATATATAGCACAACAAAAACAACAGTGCAATTATATGGTATATGGTATACGATCTTCACGGGAATTTCCATGCAACACTTTGCATAATGGAATTCATTAGCATAAATAAGACTAACACTAGCACCGGGTAAACAAATAGAAGAGTTGAGGTAGCAAAAATATATATTTATGTATGTGTGCATATGCTATATAAGAGCAAAAGGATAATAACGTGCCAGCATGAGATGCCTGAAGAACAAAGGTGTTGCGTTGGCAACTTGCCGCTGCATATTGCCGTATGCAACACATGAACGTATATGTAGGTATGTGCTAATATTTACATGACTGCAACTGCGTGTAGGAAATGTTACAAGCCTTTTTCGCCTGTTGTTAGTTCTTTAATCGATTCTACCGCCAAACAAAATAATCGTATACCAATGAATGTGGACGCTAGAAGCTAGAACTTGTATGCCATCGATGCTTACATATATTTGTATCTATAAAAGTGTTTGGGTGCGTGCATATGTGTGAGGCAGGGTGCTGCAGCCCAACTACGCGGTTGAGTTAGGTGAGATAAAGGCGTAAATGCACTTAGGCATCCAAACATACAATACAAATGTCGAATCGCTTGCATTTTATAAATACCCAGCCGGAAATGTATAGGATATACTTTTTTACAAAACACAAGTAAAAACGTTAACTTTGGGTGTATCGAAGCGGTAATACCCTTTAAAATTAAAAAAAGAACATCATTTTGATAAGTCAATTTGTATGACAGCAATATGTTATGGTGGTCCGATTTGAACAATAAATTCGGAGATTGTAGCGTTGCCTTGCATAATAATTCACATCAAAATTTTTACATACAATTATTTGATTCCAACAAATGAGTAGCTTCTTGGTGAGAAAAAAACGTGTGCAAAATTTCAGATTGATATCGCAAAAAGTGACAAAAACTCTCAACATATACCCTAATAAAGTGTATATAGAAATGGTCCGATGTCTCCATCTGGACGTTACAAACTTCGTAGCGAAATAAATACCTGGACAGGGCATAAAAACCATGTTCTTCGGTATAAAAGTTTTGTAGAATGTTTCTTTACACTATTTAAAATTTGAGTTCGTATATTTCTTGCCAAAAAGACTTAAGTTAATTTAAAAATTTAGGTACATCGTTTGAGTATATATTAAAAAAAATTAATTAAAATTATTTTTTCAAACCTATCCCTTATGAAATTCTGAAAATTTGCAACTAAAATTGTTAGAGAAATATAATTTTTACAGAAAATTTATAAAATCAATTCTCTTAATTTTCTTTTAAATTGTTTTCAAATTTCCTGCGGGATGTATATCATTGTATGCAAATATGAGTTTTTTTATACAGTTAATATATTTTTCGTTATTTTCTTATTTCAATTATTTTAAAATTTCCGGCAGGGTCTTTATATGTGTATGCAACTATGCTTCATATTCATATTTAAACATATTTTTTCTTACATTTTATACACACTGACACTTCTTTGATGACTTCTTTTGATTTTTTTTTTGTTGTGTCTGATTTTTTCTTTTTATTTAAAGGTGGCTGCAACTGGGACAGTGATCTTCACACGGCTGCAACCGGCGAAATCAATACAAGTAAGTGCCTAAGTGTATGTGTTTGTTTTTAGTGTACGACAGTGTTATGTGTGTGATGAGGGATATTGTAAGGAAATGGGATAAGCAAGCAGGAAAAAACCAACTTCGGCCAGCACCCAAGGTCGCAGCTAGCTGGAAGTATACCGGCAGTAAAGGAGAAAAAATGGGGTGGTGCAACATATAAGCAAGAAACTGGTATGCTGCATAACATACAACTGGAAAATACACACGATTACTATGCAAATATTATTAGTTTTTTATTTATCTCAGTGTCGTGCATAATTATTACATGCCACACAGCTGCAAAGATAACCGCAGTTTAAAGACGCGTCTTCATGTCAGAAATTCAAAGCACATCAAGCATTTTCAAACTACTTTGGGAAAATTCGGCAATTTTCTCAAGTCATCCGAAAACATGTAGCATCCTTGCAGCAGGCGTTACAGCTACTCTCACTGCTCCTGTTGCAAGTTATTATAATAATTCCGTGTCATTTCGCCTTCTTGTGTCTTGCTTTGAATATTTAATGAAACAATAAACCAACTCAAAAGCCACTCAGTCATCTTGTTCGACACAAAAGCGTTCAACCAGTTTTCACACAAACACACACTCGCATGCAACTCTGTGTTTCCATGCTAGCTTCACGCTGTCAAAAGACAATCCAGCCAACAAGCAGAAAATAATGCACTCCAATCATAGTGGAATAGTTGAAAACGCAATTTCATAAATTTCTGTTGTGTTAATGTGGGGAAAAGTGTATTTTTTTTTTAGTTAAACATTTAATTTTTTAGTTTGTTTTTCGAGCATTGTGCGGCTCGGCATTGCTTTAACCCATTACCCTCGTCATTTGAGTTTTCTCGCTCCCCCATTGTTTACCCTTATTTCCAACATTGTTTCGTTTAACGTTCATAATTTTCCTATAATAACTGCATTCTTTCCCCGGCTCTTGCTTGTTTCCCCAATCAACACTGTTTTTTTTCTAAGATTTTATTGTATTCTTGATTCTTTCCACTTCAAATTTTTTATTTGAATCTCTTGTCATAGATTTCAATACATACATACTTGTATATAAAGTTACATACAAAACGCCGTGATTTTCCATTTTTCCCCTTTTTTTGCTTTTACTTTTCTTACATTACAACAGCATTTCTTTGAGGGATGCATTGTGCAGGAAATACAAAAAGCCGCATAAAAAAACTGTAAAAGAATTCATTAAACGTCACAGTTTTCGTTGTAACTGATATAACGACAAACTTTTATTGTCTGCTTGCGCTTACCCACCCATTTTTTCCTCAATTTCTCACCTCTTTTGTATACGTTTTTTTTATTATTTTGATTTTTTTGTGGAAATTAGCTTAGCAAAGCGTTTTGGTGTTAAAAAACAGTTAAACGCGTAATATTTTTTTTCTACCTAAAAATATATTATATATTTTTTTGCTATAATTATTCATTACTTTCCAAAGGCGCTATTTGTAAAGCTTTTCTTAATTTTTTTAACAAGTCGAAACCTTTTCTTGTACATTGCTTTTCCCTTTTTACCATAAGATTTCGGATTCTTTTTTTTACTAAAAATTCTGTGTTATTATCCCTTTTTATGGGTGCATTTTTTTATCAATATTACAAGCATTTTCCTTCAGGCTGCTTTTTTAGTAAAGCGGATCTCTCTGTTTGCTTTAAATTTACGGGAAAATTTTTAATGAGTTTCATAGAGTTCTCTCCATTAGTGGGATTTGCATTACGCGTTTTAATTTGGAAGAAACTGAGCTGTAATTTAATCTGAAGTCATTTCTAATCTCAGGGATTGTTTACACTTTTTGGGTGAAAATTAGTTGATAGAGGTTTTATGTAAATATCCAGATAATAATTTGAATTTAAAATACTAAATTTATATAAAGAACTATTAGATTAGAAAACAATTCGATTGTGTGCTGTTTTTAAGAGAAAATATATTCGATATCGCTTTCCAGTTTCGCTTTCAAAAAAGCTTGGGAGCTTTTGCAGTAGAGTTTGAACAAATTTTTTTTTTGAAAACCTAAGCCAGCTAATTTTTTTTTCATCGGGGAATGAAAGTTTGTTCTTATTGCCAAGGAAATCGGATCTTGAAACTATTATAGGCGAAAGCTCAATAATATAGTTAAAATTTCTAAAGTGGTGTCTCCCCTGTGCCTTAAAGAAAAGGGTTATATTCTTTTGAATATAATATAGAAGGAGTAGAATAAAATGATTATTCCCTTGCATTAAATAAAATTACCGTTCTATTCACCGTTTATTTTTAAGTTTAATTTTACTCAATATTTCAGTTGTTTTTGGCCTGCTTACCAACAGATGTTTCTTCGGACTGAGTAGTCAATTGAAAAGTAAAGTCTTGATGAACCAAAACCAAACTCTTCAAGTCGCTCATTATTCCCGTCCAGCTACTAGTATATGGTGCAGAAACGTGGACGATGTCGATATCCGATAAGACGGCCCTAGAAGTTTTCCAGAGAAATGTTTTGCAGTAAATATGCGGGCGAATACCGCAGACGGTAGAACAATGAGCTGTATACGACGACATAGATATAGTTCAGCGAACAAAACAACAGCGGCTCGGTCATGTCGTCCAAATGGACGAAAGCACTCCAGCTTTGAAGAAGAAGAAAGAGGAAATCCACTCCGGTAGAAAGACCAGGTGAAGAGCGATATGGTTTCACTGGGATTTCCAATTGGCGCCAAACTGCGAGTAGAAGAAACGAATAGTGCGCTATTGTTGATTCGGCTATAATCACGTAAGCTACGTCAATGTAGCAATATTAGTAGTAATTTATATGAAGAACTATATAAAAAATATATGCAGAAAAAATTTAATAGTGATCGGATCATTTGTCTCCAAGTAATCACACGAGCAAATATGAAAAATGTAGTTATAAGAAAAACACTTTTATAGATAAACTGGTGGAGTTGATTGAACTGAGCGGCTACACTTTAGAAGTCTACTATTTGAGATATCGATTTAAAATTTTGTTATGTTAGTTTTGAAAGTATAACCTTATGAATATATATTTTTTTTTAATTTCACACTAGATGTCCCCTTATTTTGAGTATTATAGTTTAGTGGACCATGAACTCACCGCATTTCGTTTAAGAACAGGTAACAGTTGATCAAGAATTCTATAAGAAAGTTTTCTTAAACCTTGGGATTAACTATTAGTCAAATAATTACAGCAATAAAAAGGTCCAGAATATCGAAGGATGTGAGTAAGCATGAAATTCTAGAGGAATCTTTACAGCTGGAAAAGCTAATAATTTGCAACAGTTTCAAATGCATTATAGTCAATATTCAAACCGATTTGAGCTGCGAGTTCATGTGCTTTAAGGGCGTATTCTAGACATGAATTTTTGGTAATTTTTAAAGTGTCGTAAAAAACAGGTAATCAATATTTTTTCTATCGATTTTTTATCAATAATTTATTAATGTTACAAGAGTAAAAAAATAAAAATAAATAAATAAAATTTTAAATTTAAAAAACTGGCAGCTGATGAAGTGGGGGTGTCTCAAAAAATTGGCACATAAGCATACCCATGTTTTCAGCCCTTCTAGCGATCTGTTATGAGAAAATAAATTATCAATCTGCAATGATGTCGCGATTGTATGAACTAGCGATAAGTAAAAAAACTGTTTGACAAAATTGCGACTGTTTGGAAAAACACAATTTTTTATCATTTTTTTATTTTCTCGTATTTTTTAAAAATAGTAAAAATTGAAATTTAGGGATGAGGCTAGTTTATACTCGAAAGAGGTCTATAAAGAAGATTCTCTGAAAATTTCGGTAAAGTAGAATTCGAGAAATCGTGGGTATCGCATTGAAATGATTTGGTCTGAGAAAAACGCATATTAAGTTTCGCGTAAAGTCTTTTGTCCGATTAAACCCAGCCGAACCAGTTTGGAGGTCGGGTCGGTAAAGTGTCTATATCTATATATTTCGTTTACAAAACTAAACCTGAACAAGCTAACATTTATAAATAATGACTTCTCTATATGAAAAGCTTAAGCGAGGGTTTCTAATTTTCCATGTGCGTCTATTATTACCTGCCAACTAATGCATCTCTAACTGTTTCAGCTTGAGTTTTCACCATACAACCTAACCTCACCGGTGCCATGATTGCCAATTACGCAGCGTTGCACAACAGTCGGTGACTTTAAATATGCAAATTTTCCACAATAAAAGTATAAATCCAATTAACAGCTAACTAGAATCAGTGCATTGTGTGTACATTAGCTGCTTGGCTTAACCCCCTAATACCCCAACAAATACAATGAAGAAAATAAATCATTGCCGTTGGCAGCGAAAAAGGAAATTCTAAAACATATTTTCAACTTTAGACGTACGCTTTTCGAAATATATTTTGTTTGCATAACAATGGCAAGTGATCGATAGCAAAACAGGGCACAACAATAGTGCAATTTTTCAAGTGTGTCAAAAATACCCTCTTAACCTTAATTGAAGCAGTTTTGTTAAAAAAAAATTTTGCTATTACATATAACACTTGCCTGTGGCTTTCCATAAATATAAATAAACGCGTATAAATCACCAACGGTGAAAGTTTGCGCAACACGTGATCTTTCCACCAAATGTGGCAGCAGCATGCAACGCCGGTGAAATGGAAAATTTTTCTGCATAAAGAAAGCTATATTCATAAAGTATAGAAAACTAACGGTGCATGTTGTTGTAAACGCATGCTAATGCGCGGAAATCGGCAGAAAATTCACAGTTGCTAATACAAAACCGATTGAACGGCTTGCATACGAATCGGTTTGCAGTGAGTTGGGTCGCACGTGAGTTTAAATGTACTGCAGAGCTGCGTAGAGAATATTACCAAGGTGAATAAGCATCCAACGCACCTTCGTCGTGCCTTAAATTACAGAAATTATGCATTCATATATTATTTATTGATTTTCATTCTTCACCAGTACAGCGTCTTTGTATCTATTCTCTCTTTTTCCTACGTCTAAAAAATATCAAATGCATTGTACACACCATTCCCGCCACTCCTACAGTAGCGCAACCTCATCATTTGGGCAATCTGTCGCAATACTAACCACCAACTTTGTTGCAACGGAAAATGATTGCGGTAGTTTCGTCGATTACCTTAGAACCCCCCACCCTATCTCTCCATATCCACACTATACAGTGCGGCGGCAAGTAGTTGTGAAGGGTTAATACGACACGAACGAGTGCGCACGATTCGCATGCGGTGTGCAATGAAGCGCGCAAAAACGAACACCGGCAAAAGCCTCAAATATCACCTCTAGCCGAAGTGCATACAAATTTGCGCCCAATCGATACTTTGAACTTTACTTCCGCTTCACCGGAAGAAAGTGGATTTTCTTTTTACATGTGCCGCGGCGCAAGCAGCGTAAGCCAACGAAGGGTTAACGACCAGGTAAAAGGGTGCAACGAACACAATGGCTTGGAGGGAAAAGATTATTGATCGGAAATCTTTGAATGCTCTATAGATGTGTCTTTGTATGTCTGTGTTCGTGCTGCCTGGGGTTTTGTTTGTGTTTTTCGCAATTGATTTGCGGAGAAAGTGTCGATTGTGTGTTGTGTAATTGTGCAAAAATTAGGGAAAGTTACAAATTTCGTGTAAAACGAGAAGCGAACGGTACTCGAGCGTTATTTGCACACATACATACATACATACTTACATGTGCATGAATCGCGATCAATATACGACCCCGTGCAAGCATTGTAGTTAGGTTGCAGACGAAAAAGCCAAACATTTAAGCCTGCCGCTTAGGTGAAAGTGAAGACAAGGATCTCGCAAGCATTTCGAAAGCAACAAAAATGACAATCACAAATTGATAACCCACACACACACATACACACCGAGGAGTTTCTTATACCGTTTCCAGTATGTTTGTGCAAAAAAACTCACCTAAACACACATATTCATTAGTTATGCGCTAGCACCGCTTCGCACAAATCTACAAACTCATTTATTTATTTCTCAGGGGTTTGCGCAATTTCTTTTCTAATTCCCTAAATCAATAAATTTCAATTTCTTTGCAAATTTTTCTCAGCCAAGCGCACATCTGTCGTCTAGCAAAGTGAATCTTCGCTAGGCAGACGTGCCAAGCTGTGTTTGACTGTGTATGCGAATATACCTTAATGAGCGGACCTTCTACTACGCAGTGACACTATTTATGTAGGCAAATTAGGCAATGCGCAGCTAAATAAATTATCAATTGTTCATTAAATAGTTTTAAGTCTGGATTGTTGCTGCAATTCAAAATTGTCATGTGCAGGAAAGACACATTTTTGGGAGGATTGCAACATTTATTTAACCAACGTATTTTTATCATAACCTCACTGAACCTTTTTACTCAATACTGTCTGGTCTGATTTAATCAAATATGCATGCATCCATTTTCTTACTTTTCTTAAAAAAAATTATTATTATACGAGCATGTATTGAACATTCCAAAAACTAACATATCAAATTTATGTGGAAATATGTGCGAAAAAATATCCTTATAAGACAGGATTTTTTGTTTAATTTTAATATGTGCTGGAAAAAACTCTTTTTCCTTTAAAAATACCATACATTTTACACCAATTAGAATAAAGTTTCTTACATCGCGGTTTCATACCTACACTTTTGCCATATAACGTTTTTCTATTTAGTACCTAGATAAACCGTTTTTAATCTTTAAACATTCCATCACACTCTCTCTCTTCCTGACCTCAGATCGGCCGTAAATTATTTTTCCTTTCATTTTTGTTAATTTGTCAATCTTTTGTTTCCAATGGGTTTCAATAACTATGGTTTTTTCGCTTTAAAAAATTATCTAGCATGATCTACAGAGCACAAGGTTCGTTAAAAATCTACATCAGTGGCATTTGATTTTAAATTCAAATATTCGTATATTTAAACGTTTTTAAAAGTGCTCGCCGACTTCAAACCTCTGTGTACTCTAAATCAGAATTAATCGGACTGTTTTCTGTGAAATATTTATTAAAGGGTTATATCCACTTGCAAGTCAGAAACCACGCGCTTTTCGTAAGTTTCGTTAAGAGACCTTTTATTTAATAAATAAAAAATAATCTACATTTACGAAACTCGATGTACTTTATTAATCGGTGATTAATTTGGAAAAATTTTGGATTGCCTTGACCTAGTAGAAAATCTTTTTCTGCCTCTATTGATTTTCATTTGTCCAATATACGTCTATAAAATCTTTATAGAGACTGATATATATAATGTTAATTTATTTTCCATAAGCATTTCCATAAACATACATACATATACTGAGATATATAATTTTATTATTTTCTTTACAAAATATGTGCTTCGCTTATATAATCTCCTTTATACAGTACTATTCTTGGTCTTATTGCCATCTTTTGAATAACCAGTTACATGCATTTCCCATAGCAAATGTCCACGCGTATATACCTTTCCAGTCATGAGAAACGTGACATTGGGCAAGAAATGTGGGTACATCTCACTGATATCTAATAGCTCAACTTTAAACGCGTGATGCTAAAAGTGCAATATATGTATGTATACATATATAATATTTTTATAAATGCATATTATTTGCTATAACTGTCTTCGATTCGTCAAACTTTAGAAAGTGGTGAAACGAACAAACAAGTCTCTATAACAAATAGCGGTATTCGCATAATCTCTTTTGTTGGAATTAACTTGAATAGCTGTATTCTTTGCTTCGCATATTTATGTGAGACACATGGCGAATCGAAAACAGCTCATATGTATATCTGTGCATACTTACCGGTGGGAGGGGACAGCTTGTGAGAAAACTTTGTGAATGTATCAAACCTTTTCGAACCATTTCAAGTAAACGATTATTTTTATATTTCGCTTTAAGAAATTTACAACCGTCCACCTTCATATAAAAAATACGCGCATGTTTTTTTGGTTGTCGTTCCAAATCGATGCTCAATTCAGATTCAATAAACTGAAGTTCACCACGATGTTTAGCAGTTCCATTCAATTTTGTAATGCCACCATGTTCTATCAATATAAATTCTAATTGTTCCACCATATTTGGATCTATAACTCTTGTAGTAATGCCAGTCAGTGTTATTGGCGACTAAGAGCATTTGGCAAAAACATTTAAATTTAATACAATATTAGTTGTATTTATGAAGCATCAAAATGGCTTACCACTTTATATTTTATGGTGAATTGATAAAGGATCAGGATCTTAAACAGAAATGCAAATATTTTAGTCTCCTTTTCGGTTAACATCTAAATAGTGGAATTATTGACCGTATTAAGTAAGAGCGCAAGCAGAAATAAATTGTATTGAAATTGAAAAGTAGATTATATTGAAATTTTCCGCTTGAAAAATTATTGTAATTTACATATATATAACATATGCATATAACAATATACATATATATTTAATTTTAATGTTTATTATTTAAATGCTTAATTATACATTATTATAACAACAAAATCAAAGTTTTGATAGAAATTTGCGTCGAGGACTAGTAAAAGATATTTATTCTTTTTATTTCTTTAAATTCAATATTTTTTGACATATTTGGAATGACCCAAATATGTACCGTATTATTCGATAACTTGTTGCCATTTTTAAGATAATTTCATAATGCCTGGCTGTTTCTGAGGTTCTTACATTTCTTCATACGATTCAATTGTTGACAGTAAAGATCCAAATTAAGAGTTTGGTCGTAGGAGAGCAGCTCATAATAGTTGATTCTTTGCCAATGCCACAACACAAAGCAAACTTCTCCTGACCGTCAATCCTGGTTTGCGTCCACACACCCGGATTCGGACTACCGGAACGTAATCGACGAAATCAAAATTGCGAGCGATTGGCTTACCACAACTTAAATAAAAGTACAAACATTTTAAAGTCTTCATCAACTGTAATTTCTCAGAATGAGTTTATTAAACGTTGATTTCGTTACGAAGTAAAGCAAAATCGGGACTCGTTAGCCCGCTAAATTAAAAAAGTTTTTCGAATGACAGCCCACTCCCGATATTTCTACTATTAAATTTTTTTTGCTATGAAAAAAATCATTATCACATAATATCTTTTAATTATTTGCGCTTCGCTCACATCTAACAGACATATGGGTTTCAATTATAAACAAATACTAAATACGTAACAGTAATTGTCCTATTATGGGATGAATATATAGAAAATTATTCAATAATTATAGAAAATGGTTTGTGGTGATTATATGAAATTTTGGAGATAATTATTTCACAAAAATAACTTTAAAATAATTTTACGGAAATTAAAATATAGCAGAGCTTAGCTTCCATATAGCATATAGAGAAGTGTAGTATTATGTTTACATATTTAAACAAAATTATTATGGGATAGTACAGGCGGCATTTAATAATTTCTGAATAGAATTAGGTCCTTCGTTCAATAATTTCATTAGAAATACTTAAGCATGTCAGCACTTCATCGCTTACTCGAAATAAAAGTGTCTCTATAATCTACTTCCACTATATCCTGTTCGAAATATTACGTAAGGAGATCCCGACGGTGCTAGAAATACTATATTTATTCAAATAGCATCATATACTCGTATAATAAGTTTGTATTCATTACTGTCCCAACATCCCTTATTGATCGATACTTGCCTTTATGTACTAGGCAATAGTCTCTCGCAAAGTATAAATGGAAGTCAGTAGATAAGAGATCTTAATAACAATAAGCATGTATCTTATAATATAATTTCATAGCCTCGATGAAAGGCGTAGGTGCCAATTATTTATACTAGGGTATTGCAGAACTTTATAAAATGTGATGCTGGTCTTGTTTCGGCGGAATCTACCAAGAATGCTCTTATTAGGCATAAATACATTTGTATATAACTTTCATGCTAGCCTAATTACGGTTATATTATATTATATTTAGATATTACCTCAAACACGGTCGTTAACTATGTAGTAAATCTCAATAATTTTATTTTTCATTCTGAAATTTTAATTGTTTCCCGATATACTATGTATATTTCTAAATGCAATTCCAGAGAAATAAAAAGGTCAAGGTTAAGTAAAATATAACAATTAATTGTTATTAAATAAAATCAAATCTTTAAAGCGATGTTTGGGTATATTTGGGAATAGAGTCACCACCTTTCGAGTAATATAAACTAAACACTTTATGCCAACTTAAGCTTCCTGAAAAATAATTTAATAATAAGATAATGTTTTCGCTATTCTGCTAGTTACGGTTAGATTTCTGCTGGGATTGTGTGCCACTTTGCTATTTGAAGTCACTTATTATTACTGATCTTTACGAACTAGTATAAATATTCGAGTTTAAGTTGCGGCTCGATTACAATAGTATGAGAAGATTATTTTGCATGATATATTGGATCTATAACTCCATTCGGACAGTTTGCCAAAAAAATTAACTTCATTAATCCATTTTTTCCATATTCCGAACATGAAAGCTACTGTCCTTGTGCGTCTTTTTCAGTATACTATATATCATTCAATTGAAGCGTAAAAAAATTAAATTTTTCTCTTTGCCTAAAAATAAACGCAAAAATTATATGTGAACAGTCAGCCAAATCAACGGGAAAGTCGAATATCTATGACGCTAAGGAGCGTGTGCTGTATAATACGCTTCTAGACATGAGCCAATAATGTTCCTGTTGTAAAACCTCAGCTTCCTGTTGTAAGACCGGTTCAACACTATTTGGAAACCAGCGGCTACAAAGTTTTGTCTTACACGCCTTATAGCCCCGACCTTGCCATTATTTAACTACCATTTGTTACGGTAGATGCAGAACACCCTCACTGGAATACGGTTCACACCGGAACAGGCTATCAAAAATAGATGTAATGCTTTAGATTGGAAAATGCTATTGCTTCAGATGGATAATACTTTCAATATTACTATTTCACATGTTTTTCTTAAATAAATGTTAATAATAAAAAAACCACACGAATGTAGTTCTAGATCCAATAACTGACGTCATTAAATGTTTATGTATACATATATCTTTTGTGGATTTGTATAGAGTGATAGGTATGAGTGTGTTATATAAACCACTAATCAAGCCAGCTGAATTAATATGTATTTGATATGTACATAGATCCGTTTCGAGAAGTAGGAACACATAGGACAGAACTAAAAATAACAGCAATGAATATTTCAAGTGTGGGGATAAAAATAATGCTACGTAAGATTTAATTAAACGTAACTCCCCCTCCATTACGTATACTTTATAGGCATACTACATGTATATACATACATCTACACTTATTTATATATACATATATACGCTTCGTTGCATATGTCATCACGGTGTTGATGATAAATTCCAGGACATATGTGTGGGGAAGACTTTCGTTACACATACATACACATACATTTATGCACCGAAGCGCATGTGTGAGTCCACCACCCGCTAACGAGCAACTGTGAGCAGCAAAGTGATATTTCATTTTGCGTTTTTGTGTTTATGCATGTATGTATAAATGAAATCGGAAGTAAAAATAATTTACAGTGAAACACAAAACAAAAGGCCTACTGACTGACTGAGTTACACAGGATTGCCCCGTTCGGGCTGAGGTGCGGATAAGGCGGCGTAGACTTCCGGTTTTCGAGCGCGTGCTCCACCACAAAAATCTCGAGCTCAAACGAAAACAATTTAGAATTTCCTAATTGCTGCCACGCAAACAAAACAATAGGGTACAATCCACTTAAAAACTTACTTGCATGAGTACATATGAATGTTTGTGTAGTTGGGACGACGTGCGGCGAAAGAGTTGCGACAACAACTCGCATATCCGCTGTGTTTACAACAGCCGCCTCGTAAATTAAAACGAAATTTAATTACAACAACGTACTGACAATTATAACGGTCATAAATTCCTTCGAGTGCCCCAGTTTGTTTAATCTCGCAAGCGGCAAACAATGGCGTTTCAAAGGAAATTTATAGATACTCATTTGGCATACACCTCAGCCGATTTTATTACTAAAGAAAGTTGGTCAACCCCTCTTCTAACAGCCCACATCCGCACACATACACACGTGGGCAAGCGCATCCTTTTGACTCATCCGCAGCGAGCTTTTGTTTATCCAACGTTCATTAGCAGGTCAAGTAAGCGAATTACGCAGCATCAATTAGCGGGGAAAATCGTATGAGGCCGTACTAAATCAAAAAGAAAATAAAAATGTCCGCAAATGTCCATACAAAGAACCAAAAGCGACGAAACACACAAAAAGAAAGGATTTACAGCGAATTTACGAGCACGCTGATGTGATCTTAAATGCAAATTTGCATTGTGTAAGACTCAGTTGTCCGTCCGTCTAGTTGCGCGCATGCTCTACAAACGTCATGTATTGTCCTGCGGCAGGACAGCGTGCACTCGCCTTACACAAAAGCATCCTTAAGTGTAAAATGCGCGCCTTTGTTTCACTTTCATACAACACAAATGCATACATGAAATTATGTAAGTATGTTTGTAAGTGAGTATCAATCGAAACGGGTCCAAATGCAGCCAAACAAAGCCGTATGCAAATGCAAATCCTATTTTCTTCTATCCGTAGTCATAAAAAAAGCAAGTATAAAGCCTCGGCTCATTAGCCTTTGCTGTTGTTGTAAGTAAACAAGATCAACCAGGTGGACCGACCGGCTCAAACAGCCTCTCAAATCAACACTCACTATGCTTTAGCTATTCTTTATGCTATGCGGCTGTCAAGTGACCCGGCCAGGCATCTTCAAAGTGACTGTCCCCTGAGAGGACACTGATCGACGGCGTCGCATTATGGAAAATCCGCCGAATAGAAAATTAGCGGTATTAAGCGCAGCGCAAAGTAAGACAGCTTACCCAATCTTACAACATCTTTTCATGATTACAACCAACCGTGCGTCCAATCGTCGAAGAAGCGCCGACGAAGGGTTGTTACTTGCACTCGATGACCTTAAGATTTTCGTCTTTTCATTTTATGGGCTTTGGTTTTATTTATGATTTTGTTTTTGCATTCGGGATCAGCAGCCACATTTTTGGTCCACACGCAGCACGTCAGTTTCTCATCTTGAGCTGGCGTAATGTGCTGTCAGCCGTTGGGCGTTTTCCGTACCCTCGGCGACAGATCAAAATAAAGTGATTTTCCCGCAGGCAACAGCAATCGTAGGAAAGAATGTCCGTGAAAAAATGTGTAAGAATAGAAAGTGTCCTAATATACATACGTACACATATAAATATATATATATGTATATATACATGGCGTTCAATTCAAACCCAAA